CAAGAGCGGAAGGAGAGCAGCTGAGAGGTGAGAAAGAGGGAGATGACGGCGCATGAGGCGACGAGACCGCCCCACTTGAGCCATGCGATGGATGCGGGTCTGCGGCTGGGGGGGAGAGGGGAGTGGGTGGAGGGGCGGGAGGCCGACGACTTGGGCGAGGATGTGTGGGCCATGTGGTACACGGGGCTGCTCGTGTCGCTGCGATGCTCTTGCCCGCCCATCTGCAGACCCATCAGACGAACATAATGAGATGAGAAGAGAGCGGCGAATCAAGTGCATCAAGGAGGTATGTTCTCACCTTTGTGTGGTTGCTGAGCTGCAGATATGTGGCTGCAGCGGTGTCCTGGCCTTCCCCGTTTCCTCACCGCTTCGGTCCGCTTTGATCCTCCGTTCTGAGACGCCGCTACTCAGCAACGCGACCAACAAACTCCGCAGCTGATGGGCTTCACCTTTCTTGCCGTGCCTTCATGACCGTCTCATCAGGAGAGAAGAATTGGAGAGTGAGCAATCTGAGCGCGCAGGGTTTGCTTGGGGTGCAGGGTTTGCTGGGGTGCGGCTCCCGCCACGGACCACGCTTGGATGTCCACCCGAGTAACGCCTCCTCTTCACCGACCAATTGCCTCGCCATTAATATATCACAACAGGGCAGCAGGCGACCCTTGCGGAGGTGGAAAACGTCCACGAAAGCTGTATGCATGAGTACAGAAGCCAGCTTCTTTGACCAGACTGCCAGCTTCTTGGATTGAATCACAGCTTTTTCATCGCAAGGCACACACAGAGTTTCAGTCGACCGATGGATGACACCACCACACCACCCTCTGTGGCCACAGGTGTCCATCCATCCATCCATTCATGCGATTGCCGTGTCCACACATCCATCCATCCATCCGCCCACACGACAAGGCACCCGCCCCCTCACAGCTGTACAAGGGTGCACCACTCACTGCCCACTCGAGGCAACAACACAAAAAGTGGCTGCGCTGGCAGTGCAGGCAAGGAGCAGACAGCTGACACTTTCTATGAACAAGTGAAGTTGACCTTGCAGAAAGGTAAAAGTCACGGCTGTCATCATTGATTCATGATGTCAGCATCAATATAGGTAGGTAGGAAGCGATGGGAAGAAAAAAGCAGGAACAAGACAGATAGGGCAGACAGCGCACCTCACTCGCGTCCAGACAGCGTTCATTGCCCCTGTCTGCCTGTGGCGCATTATCCCTCTTGCATGCCTGTCTGCCTGTCTGCTTGCAGTGTTTGTGGTGTTGACGGCTACAGCATTGTCACGCCCTGGTATCCTCTCGTCCATAAAACGAGAGGACAAGACCCATCCGCTCTACATAGTGGACGAACTCATATTACTCACCAGCTGCACCCGTTGAGCAGGGAGACGGTGAGAGAGACCAAGAGGACGCCATCCTGAAGGCCACAAGCGAAGCGAAAAAAGCGGGTCAAGAGCCTCACGTTTCCTGATTTCTCGCGGGAGATCATGAGAAGTGATCCGCTGGCTCGTCGACCAACAACTGGACACTTCTGCCGTGGCCGACGAGGTGATGGATGACAGCAGTGAGGGAGAAGCGGAAGATCGTGAGGGCGCTGATGCATTGGGTGACCAGCAAACCAGCGCAAGGAGAGCACGTTGGCACTCCGTCTGTCATCAGCGCCGAGAGCACCTGTTCGCGCCGCAGGAACGCCGCAGGAGTTGGCGCCTTCGTGCTCAAGTAAGGACGGGAGTGAGCGACCCCTCTGCCGATCTCAACCTATTCGCATGTGCCGCGGAAGCCCGTCAGGCATTGGGGCCAGCGGCTGGGACCTCTCATCGTCACTCAGAGGCCGCAGCTCCAACTGATACTCATCCCACTTGCTCTGCATTCATCAACACACAAACAGACAGGGAGAGGAGGTGCATGGCTCTGGTCGCTGAGTCGATGCTCAGCTTCTGACCTGGAACTCAAGTGGCTTCCCGTCCTGGTTGTTCCACGGCTTCCGTCTGCCAGCGAAGTGCAGGACGATGGGCGCCTTGCTGCCCAGTGCCGTGTCCCTCTTGCTCGACGAACCTGGAATATGCACATACACACAGCCAGACAGACGAGTGAGTCCACAACTCATGAGCCCTCCCATTTCCATCTCACCAACGAAGGCGTTGTATTGCGGCGGCAGCTCTCCATATTTGCCGTCGCAGTAGCAGTTGAGAATGATCTGGTCGTTCACGCCGTACTCGTTGATGTAGCGCTTCGCAAAGGGCTCGAAATGGTTGCCCCGCAGCCACGACAGATCCATCACCAACACGCCCGCATTGAACGATCGGGAAGCCGTGTAGTTGAGCGCTGGGAAGCTGCCCGTGTCGTTCAGCCAGTCGTTGATGACCTTGGGCGTCTTGGAGCTCCGCGCCCATATGCCGCAGTGCTGCTGCGGCGGGAGGTCCCACAGCGGCCGCAGCCGGCCGTCCACAATGACGTCCAGGTCGAGGAAGATCAGCCGGTCCTGGAAGGGCAGCATGGTGGGGGTGAACAGCCGCCACATGGTGGCCTGCGATTTGCTCAGATGGGGCATGTCGTGCGGCTGCTTGTAAGAGTCAAAGTGGGCGAAGTGATCAGGCACACGGACCCACTCGAGGACCATGTGCCTCCTACCATTGGCCTCAAAGCGGTCGATCAGCGCGTTGACCATCCCCCTCTTTGCCGAGTCGACATCGCGGTGGAGAACGTGCACGGCCGCAAAGTCGTCGGCGTTGCTCTTGTGGATGGAGTTGAGGACAGTCGGCAGCTGCTCGATGCCGTCCCCGTCCACGGCCATGCAGATGTGCAAAGGATGCCACTCGCGGACACATGAGTCGCCACAAGAGCGGAAGAAGAGCAGCTGAGAGGTGAGAAAGAGGGAGATGACGGCGCATGAGGCGACGAGACCGCCCCACTTGAGCCATGCGATGGATGCGGGTCTGCGGCTGGGGGGGAGAGGGGAGTGGGTGGAGGGGCGGGAGGCCGACGACTTGGGCGAGGATGTGTGGGC